ACTATTTGAAAATCTGGAATCTGAGGGTGCAAAAAAATCTAAATATTGAGAAAATCATCTTTTAAAGTTGTTTAAATTAAGTTCTTAGCAATGCATATTACTAATCACAAATTAAGTTTTGATATATTTACGGTAGGACATTTACAAAATATCTTCATGGAACATGATCTTTACTTAATATCCTAATGATTTTTGGCATAAAAGAAAAATGGATAATTTTGACCCATACAATGTATTGTTGGCTATTGCTACAAATATACCCCAGCGACTTAACACTGCTTTTGTGCTCCAGGGTCACAATTATGTATATACATATGGTACATGGTTCTGGCTTTTCTTATTTTAAAAATATGTTCAGAGTTGATTTAGCAACCAAAACAAACAACAGTCAAGCAGAATCTGTAAAGCACCTTGCACTTGCACATGATTTAGCCGTTTATGAAATTAAAAGGCTATGCTAATGTGTAAGTGAATGCGACTGACTGAGTGAACGTCTCAGGATCATGTCCAGGTCATGTTTACCCCAAAATGAAAATAAATAAGATGCTGTTTTGTTAAAATTTGTAGGAGTAAGCCCATTATTTCTCATTACCGTAATGCAAATAATAATAATAGATTCTCATTATTGTAATATATTTGAATTGTAAAGTATTTATACATCATGGTAGTGTTTTTGTATTGCCTTTATGCTGATTTAAATCGTTTTACTTACTGTAATACGATAAATAAAAAAATACCGTATTTTAATTAATTAGAATCCAGTATGAGATTTATTTAGGATGATGAACTTGAGAATGTATTTAAAGTTCATGAAAATAATCTCACTTTGCAAAAGTGCTAAATATTCTAAAATAGACTTTTAATGCGATACAGTTTCTTTTTATTTTGGGTTGAGCTTGACTTGGACGTGTGTTTTGTGAGATTCACCTCTATATTTGGAAATGCTTATGATGCTTTCGGATTTGTTTTGTACAGGTTTATTTTCTGTAAAGTTTATTTGAGGATTGTTATGAACCCATATGTGTTTGAGTTCTCAAAACCACCTTGGAGGAAGTTCTCCAGGGTTCAGGACTAGGTTTTTGCTGCTAAACACGGCGCATTCAGGCCACACAGTAGTTTATTGGTCTTGGCAGCTCAGATTGTTGGCTGACGAGGCAAGCGGAGATGATCGCGGTTTAGTTCCTCTTCCTCCCCTCCTTTGTCAGATTTTCACAATGTGTACAGAGTCTTTTGAACAAACATGCATTCATTTTATTCATTTAAATTATATAACCACTTCATTTGTTTGTAGGGTTGGTGCCAGTTATTCCTTTTTTTGTTTTGTTCCAGTCACGTGTAACTGCTGTAAGTTAACTAAGATATATTTATAATTTTCATTGGTTGTAACTTGTATGTAAATATGAAGATGCTGTATATGTAGTTCTCCTTTGCGATACTAACAAGCTGTGTGTGACAGTGATTTACTTTGCTTTTTTCTATCTTTAATATAAAACTGCATTTGCTTTTGAATACAAATATGGTACTTTTTTTTGGGTCGCTTTCTTTTAAAGGTAGCCTAGGCTACAACATGCAGTATATTACACGTTTTACATTTTGTAAAACATTTATTACATTTTACAACACAATTCACAGATTTCTATAAATCTACCAGCCGTGTACTTCTATGTGTTAGAAGTAACATTGTGAAAAACAACTTCATAAATTTGAATTTAATACAATATATGGGAGAATTAGCTTACTAGCCTACCTGTTATGGTAGCGACTGTAAGACTTGTAGAAAATAATAGTATAAATCTGCTGTGTTTTAAATATAAGCACACCTCAGTTTTAGTGCTTTAATATTTCTGAATTTACGTAATCGTATGGTGCCAGTTTCTTCAAGCTGTCATGACTCATGAATAGGCTCAATGTTTCAATCAAAACTTGTACAAATTTATCAAAACGATTTCTCTTTCAGTTTGAATAAAATACTTATTAGCTGATAAGAACAATCTTCAGTCAGGTAGCCTACTTTAATGGAGTGATATTCATTAATTAAGATTATAAAGTCTTTTTTTTCTTAGCTGTGGTTCGCTCACAAAATCTAGTAGCTGTAAGCTTTTGTTCGTGTTAATCAATAACACAGGGATGAAATTGATATGATTAAAGTTAAAGTATTGCTGTGAAGGAGTGGAGACGACAAACACACTGTCGTTTATAGCGCTGGTAAGTCTGATTCATTCTACTGAATCGGTTCGATCTAATCTTTCTCTCGTGTTTATTTTTGGAAAATTCGAGTCATTCTTATTCGTTCTAAACGGTTCTCTTTGTATCATATGTATCTTTGGAAAATTAGATTAATTCTGTTAAATCTGTCCGTTCTAAACCAGGGCCGGCTCCAGGCATTGGCAGGGTGGGCTGAGCCCACCCAAATGACTGTCTTGCCTGAATTCACGCTTCAGTCTGTTGCAGAAGAGCAGAGGATGACAACGAGCGAAAACGGGCAGAAATATTTGCGCGCTATCATGGGGAGTTTGCGAGTTATGGGGAGTTTAATAAGCTACATGAATATGTATCATAGCCTACCACTGAATTTAGGCTACCGGAGCAATTTTAAGGTTCTAAAAACCCCGCTCATTCAATAACGTGCATTCATTGCATGGACGGGGCAAGAGCATATAATATAAGCGTCTAAAATGCATGTAGGCTCAGGGGGCGGACTTACCCGTTAGGCAAAGGTAGGCGACCGCCTTGGGCCCCCAAAAGCCAAGGGCCCCCTAAAATGCTTTTCATATAGGATATGCGCATTAAGCGCTGACACGCGAACGTTTGCTGTTTACGGTGTTTATTACCACGACAACCGTACGAGACTGAACATGCTTTTTGTGTATCCTGCTTTAAGGAGATGAAAATATTATGCATATGAAGCTGTAATTAAATATTGAGAAACAGTGTGTATTATATGTTTATAATTGTTTTAAATGCCGCTTACTCATTTATGAGAAGGAACCAAGTAGAGGACACAGTTACTTTTTTGGTTGATATAATCCTTAGGTGTGTAAATGTATAATTGCTTTTTCATTATTTTTTCAGTTTTATTAAAATTTGTAGTTAAAATAAATGTATTTTAAAGTTTAGAACTAGACAGCCGTTGCACACAGGCTTATGCTGGTAACTCATCAGTGGACTTTCCTCGTCAATATAGGCTATATTTTTTCACACATTTCTCTATTTTCTATATTTCTGACGTTCCAAAAGCGCCTCCTACTGGCAGAGAATGAATGTGCATTTTCAATAATCCAGTCTGTAGTTTTTGTTCAGATCAATGCGAAAATCCACCCATATAACCTCGTTTTAAATTAATATAATAATTTATACTTCTGAATCACTCCTGGTTTAAACGCTCAATTGTGAGGTTTATTATTTAATAATTTATTTAGTTTTTGTGAAAACCTATATCTCAACTGTAAATCATTTGCTATTTCGTGGTCTACAACATGAAAGAAAGCCATTATAACATGCACATGAAAAATGTAGAAACATTGGACACAACTATGGGGCACCATTGAGTAGCAGCAAGCATCACAACAAAAAAGCAACCTCAAGGTTGATCTAGGAAAATGTGTGCAAATGTACAGGGCCCCATTCCTATATTTTGCCTGGGGCCCCCAATTCACTAAATCCGCCCCTGTGTAGGCTATACAGTTCAGTTGAAAGCTTACCCCGTTTGGCTTGCATTTAATGCTGAATGTAAGAATGAAAACTGAAAGTAAAGAGCCTGTGCGGTGAAAGTTGCGTTCGTTACTATAGCAACAGTCGGCTCGACTGTAAGAAACGTAGCGTTCCCCTTCTATGACGAAAACGACCAGTGATGCAAACTATTCGACTTTTTATGTCAAATTCCGCAGTTTTGAATGGAAAGTAGGTCTGTCATTTACGTGATTCATGTAGACTAATTCATAATTGATTATGACGATAGCATTTTTTCTGTTTTGTGTTTTCAACAACACAGCTGAAATTGAATGGGTGCATATTTTAAAATAAAAATATTATTTGCTGTTCAGATTGATTACTTTACAAAAATTACTATTCTTGTTCTTTTACTGTTCCTTTTTCTTCTTTTAATTTATTCCCCTAAATCCATTTAAATCCTTTATTTATTTAGTTTCTTTAAATAAGTACCATTAGAGGTCTGGTCTTTATATTCTCCTCAAAACAATTAGTCCCCCCAATGTTCTAGACATGATTACGGCCTTGTTTTTCGTATAAATAAAAAAGTTAGTTGAAAAGAATCACCAGTGTTGAAACAATGATCCAGAGAAATTATCTTCTTTTTTTTTTTTTTTTTTTACTATTCAATAAAGAAAAAAAAAGTTTATTTTGCTGTGAAAGTGCATGACATTCTATGCTGCCCATGAAAGCTTTTTTCAGTGTACATATAATATAGTTAATATAGCAATATCTACAGTATAAATATCTTCTAGACGGTCCTCTTTATGTGTAACTTTAGAAGGTTCGAATCATTCGAGTGAATCGGTTCATCCGAAACGGACCTATTTGGAAAGTCCAATTCAGTTCGTCTGTCTTCATACGTAGCTTTCGAAAGTCCGATTCGTTCTAGTGAATCGCTTTTTTAGAACAATTCTTGTAAATAAATGGATTACAAAAAAGATTGGAGTCCCTATGGATTTCAAGGTCCATAATTAAACTATTATTAGGCTACTAATTCAACGAATAGCCTAATACATTAGTAAATTTGTAAAGTAATACATGTATTTCTAAATTGTTTGAAAAGTTTAATACAATTACCATTTAGCATTATTTATTTTAACTACTGCAGTTTATTTGTCGTTGACATTTCATCATTCAATTATTTGTTATTTTTTGCAGTTTTGTTCTTTCATACGAAATCCCTTTAAATGTGACTTTGAAGAGAGAGTTAACGCAAAAATGAACATCTTCCTCGATTTATCTAGTGTTTTTTTTTTCCATGTCAGATTCACACTCCGACACATAGATAGCAGTAATGCATCGTTTAGTTCGTTTGCAACCCGGCAGTGAATCCACAGAAGAAATAGGATCAGTAACAACTACTTTCCATTGCTTCTGTTGAATCATTTGGAAGATTTATTGAAATAAAATACCCCAAATCTATAATTAATGAACACTTAGATATTACTTTAATAAAGACCATTCCGTTGCTTTTTGGCAGCAATTGTCATGAAAATGACAGAGGAAAACAACGCTGTTGAGCCAAATGTTACCGAAGAGGATGCTCGACTGCTAATAAAAAGAAAGGATGATATTGAAGAGCAAATTAAAGCATACTACGACATGCTCCAAACCGTAAGTTCAAACCATAGATATTAATATCTATGAATTTAAATATGTTTTGTCATTAAACTCAAAAGATACACTCAATATTGGCTGCTTGGAAGCTGTTTATTAGGTCGTTCTCACAGAACGCGTTCTTTGCAGCACAACAAATGGAGTGGATTTGAACGCAACGATATTAAAAGTTTAACCGTTTATATCTTGACGATGAAACGACCAAATACAGCTTTGGCGCTCGTAAATTACGTTCATGTATCGTGCCTTACGTAGTTTGACTGCGTTTGGAGAGCGTTTAATGTGTAAACAAGAACGGCAATAATGAGGGAAATACGTAACGTGATGGCTAAATATAAATGACATTTATACTGTACAGTTTTATTTTATTAAATGGTTCACCAAAACAGTGAAATACAGCATCTTAAACAAACTGGTTTGTATGGAGTCAGATTAATGCCAAAATTAATACAAGGACAGAATATGACGCACACATGCAAAAATTTACATGCATAAAATGTAGTAATACATTTACAAAATATGTTTCCCAAATTAAAACATAAATATACAGTATGCACACAAAGTTTTCAATGTTGTAAATTCTCAAATTCCCTCACGAAAATTACCCATACTACAAATACCCCCCCAACAAAAAAAAAGGTTAATATGGTTAAACTACAATTTAACCATGGTTTTGCTACATTAACCATATTTTAAAAATGGTATTAAAAATGGTAGTAAATCTGTGGTTCTACAAATAGTAATCTACCAAAAAACATGGTTACTACACTTCTACCATAATAAAACCATGGTTAATTTTCGTAAGGACTAACAGAAGTGTTGGTCTGCCTAAACAACATATTTTTTATACATTTTGTTATTTGTTTCTATACATTTAAATCAATAGTTTTGTATTTCAATCTTTTTTTTTTTACATTAAGTACATTATTAAGTAGTCTTGAACTTTAATCTTTTTGTTCAATTTTCAAATACTTTTTTTTTTTTTTTTACATTAAATAAAAGACATCTCTATATTATCTGTTCCTGTTCCCACCAATCAATTTTGAATAATAGATGGGACAAAATTGTCATTGACCCATGTACCTTATAAGCCCACTCTGCACTTCTCACATTTGCAAAATTGATTTAATGCTATTTTTATTGGTAGAATGTTCAGATATCAATTAGAAAAAATTAAAAACAAATAAAATCTGACTCTATGCATTCAGACATTCGATTAGACTGTGGTTGGTCCGCACTCTCAGTTGGCTCAATGGCTGGGTTTTGGCCATACATTTGTAATATAGTTTATTATAGCCAGCTTATCGCCATATTGCTAGCTGATATGTTTTCATTTAATATTACGCAGCAGGGGACCTAGTCCTTCAGTCACAAAGAAATAAGGTGTTGTTATACTAACACATTTGGAATATATATATATATATATATATATATTAGGGCTGGGTTTTGACACAAATTTCACGATTCGATTCTCATTCACAAGCTTTCGATTCGATTCAATATTGATTATTTTGGATATATATCTGGTACACATGCAAAATTTTCTCAAGGAAAAAAAAATCTCTCAACTAATGCTGTAAAATATACATGAGAGTCAGTTGGTACTACATTACTATAATATTGAAGGTTAAAACTGACTGATTGTTTAGGCTATACAACTTCTTAAATTACACTTAATCAAGTTTTTATAATAAAATTACATTTTACAATTACATAATAATATTTCTACTTGAATTCGTTTTTTTAAATATAAACATTAAAATGGTGGCTGTCATAAAAAAATTTATTAAACATTGAAGAACAGTAAAAGTTATAATGAATATATTATATGGTGCATATATTTAGCAAAATGCCCCTCTCTACAGTTTATTGTTCTATCTGATTAATGAGTTTATGGTCACCGAATATGTTGTTTCGTCCCACTTTCGTTGTGTTTGACTTCCCATAGAAACTGGTATTAATGTGGAGGAGATAATTAGTTCACGTGCGCCTCGTGCTGCCGCTTTTACTGAACTGAGGCTCTACAGCGATCTGTCACTCCACATTAAACAGTGCCAAAATGGCATTTATTGTTTGAATACTGCAATACAATGGACAGAATTTGAAATCTGAGACTTTTTCATATTAAAAGTACCAAAGCACAATGCTTATTGCGATTTATTGGATGGGAGGTGCCCTTCAATGTTCCGTCCATTAACTGAAAACAGGCTAGACTAATCGATTCTTGGGATAAGAATCGATATCGTTTCGTAAAAATGCGAATCGATTATAATCGAGATATCGATATTTTTTACCCAGCCCTAATATATATATATATATTATTTATTTATTTTTTTTTTTTAAGTCTTCTAAAGAAATTTCTTCATAAGGTGTGTGTGTGTGTTTGCACAGCAGGCCGGTGTAGGCATGGATGCTCCTCTGGTTGATGTGGAAGGCTTTCCTCGTGCAGATGTGGATTTGTACAAGGTCCGAACAGCAAGGCACAATATCTCCTGTGAGTAAATTTTTCACCTGTGTGTTAGATGATTGTGATGAATGTACTTACGCCATTTCATGTTAGTGAACACAAAAAGTATCAAGATAATAGTATTGGCTTTTGGACATGTATAATTGTATATAAATGGGTAAAAGATGAAAAAGGATTTTCAAGCATCAAAACAATAACATTTGAATCCAGCATTATTTGTATTTTTGTATATTAGAATGTGTCCTTAATTTTATTTTTTTCTAAGCATTTCATGTGATGATTTGCAGAAAACACCCACTAAAATGACATTCAGTGTAACAATAATTTCACCTGACAATAATTTGACATACTGAAGTTCATGTACACGCTACACATGTATAGCAATGCAAATATTGGTGTCATTGTACAGAAAAACCCTCAAAATTACAAGATCTGATTACAATATTTCATAAACAACTGTCTCTCTCTCTTTATATATACACTAGGCCTGGGCGATAAAACAGTATCGATATTTATCGACGGTACTCCATCAATAACGATAGAAAAAATGTTCGATATAGCGCACGAAATAGGCACGTGCTATGAGTGACGCAGACAGCACACACAAACACGAACATGAGTGCTGTGCCTGCCTGTGATGAGGAGATTGTGAATAAAAAAATTAATATTAGTCGAATTTAAAATAAAAATTGCATTTGAATGCAAAAATGGTACAGTCGAATGTTAGGTGTGCGTAAGTGAGTTTGTTGCATTTTAATGTTTTGTTAGTCTAGCCCACGAGACGCGCCGCTGCTGCGTTATTCATTCAAAATATTAGAGAAATATAGAAGCTCAATGCTTAGAAGATCTTGATTAGGTTAAAACCGAAACCAAGCCATTCACACAGATGCATATTCAGTGCATTTTTAGGTGGACAAATACGACTGCTGCACTCGTATGTCACACAAGAGATGTAGCCATGCAAAGTTAAAACAGTTTATATGTTTAGAAAACACGTCGCGAATTTGTGGAGGTTTATTCCTTTTCACTGCGTCTCTTATGTTTTTAAAGGCAATCTGTGTGATCGGCGATTCGACTCTTTTTTTATTTATGCAATGCATAAATACATGATGCTGTTTTGTTCATAATTGTTTACCCAATTTACGAAATTTTATTTGATTTATGTATAT